AATAATGTCTCACTAGCTTTTCAGACGCGAATATCTGTGTCTATGAAAACCCACAGCAAGTAGTCCCAATTCACATACCAAAAATAGACGCTTTTGCTGCTGCTGCTGCATCAGTCGCTTCCGGAACAAATTGAAATGGGGGAGATGGAGATTGAGCTGCAGAGCTGGCTATGGCGGAAACCCACAGAGAGAGGGAGTTGATTGAACCACCGACAGGGGAGAAGAGAGGGTTGGAGCCTTAAAGGCGGATGCTTTAGGGGATTCGGGGAGAGAGGGGTGGAGAGAGAGGGAGAGAGGGAGAGATAAACCCTAGCTTTTTGCAGGCATTGCTCGTGAAAAAGAGAGAGTTTGAAAAGTGTGGATAAAGGTGTAGAAAGAAGGGGGGGGGGGGGAGAGAGGGGTGAAGGAGGGTGCACAGGAAGAAGAGAAGAGACTCTCCTACTTGAACTTATCTTGTGTCACTTTTGTCACTTTGTGACCTCTTTCTTTATCATAATTATTATGACCCACTGGTATTTGGAACCCACTTGACGCCACTGTTTTTTATTCCTCAAAGAAAAAATATGTTTTGTAGCGTGTGGTTTGTATTCAAACAAGATATCAAATCTTTTGATGGAATGTAACTCAATCAAATTTAAAGATAGAAAAAAACTTTAGCCGGTATGCGAAGGGTCAATTTCTTTTCATCACTACGATAAAGGATTACTTGCGATAGATGAACTTTTTGTTGTTAAAATTTTTTTTAATAAATGATATTATCGACACTAAGGGATAAGGAAGTGGGCTAAAGCCTCGTAATGAGCTAGCAATAATGTGATTCAAATTCGTCTTTGATCAGAGTTGAATTTAAAATCTCTCACTTCAAAGTGAAGAGTACTAAGTGAGGGTGTCAACTTTAACATATGAGATTGAGTAATGTGCTGTTAAATAATATTTTTAATTATTTTATAGTGTGCGTCTCATTGATGTATCAATTTTAAATTTTAAATTTTATTTTAATGAATTATTTTTTAAAATGAATGCTACAAATATTATTTATAATAAATAACATATAAGTTGGAAGAAGAGAAAATTTGACATTATCACGTCAGTCATCAAATTTGTCACAACCCGTCCTGGAAATATACATTATTTTGTTATCGTTGATGTGAAAAGACTAAAATACCCTTGAGCGTTTGTGGCATTATGAGTCGTATGTGACAAGTTTTAGAAATGGACCAATGTGATTATTTTCCGAAGTTTTGGGGCCAATGAGAATGAGAACTTAACCTTGGTTAGTTATGATTGGTGTGTAGGTTGGACCACACACACACATCCACATCACCTTCATTCTCTCTCTCACTCCGGTGCACCCTTTCTCTCTCGGACTCACTCTCTCTTCCCTCTCCTTCGTACGGACAAGGTCAAACCAAGCCAAATCTTCACCGATCGAGGAAGAAAATGGTACCATTGTGTTCATGAGGACCATACGAGTTCAAAAGTACCCATTTCAGGTAAGAACTTGTTCGATATCACGTTGAAAATTCAAGCTCCGAGTTGAGCACTATTCATGAACTTTTAAATGGTTGTGTTTTAGGACAATCCAAGCTTATAGCGAGCTTAGTGAGGTCCCAAGGAAGCTCGGAGTGCTTCGTTTGAAGGTTTTGGACGTCGGGATCACGAGGTTCGAAGGTGGCCGGTTTTGGTGAAATTGTCCCGATGAGTTTTCCAAGGATTTGGAAGTTTTAAAAGGTATAACCTTCTTCCTCTCGAAATTTGTGAAGTTCTGGTGAAAATTTCATGAAAAATGGTGTAGAATCGAGTGAGAAATCATCGATTGCAGGGTTGCCCAGTTTTCCGGCGTCGGCGAGTTTTCCGGCGTCTAGACGAAGAAGATGATGTGCGTGGGGGGCGCGTGGCACCGTGGCCTCCCTGGCGCGTGAGGGCGTGTGGGTCCTAGGAAAATTATTTTAAAAATATCTCGAAGTTCGCGACGTCGAGTAGATCACTGTGGTATATTCATATACCTATTTTGAGCAATGTATGAGAAGTTATTAGCTAGTTTTGCCTATATGCTTTAAAATAACATTTTTATAGTTAATTCGCATATAGGTGAGACTTATCCCGAGGACGAGCGTATCCACGGGCGACTCGGGGGCTACGACCCTTCAACATATCAATGAGTGGGCTTTTGTTTTCAGTATATATTTATGTACTTGATTTAGTTCTCATAAATGCATTTTTAAAGAAAGTATGCTTTGAAATATTATGCCAAATGTTTTTATATTTTGAATATGCACTCATAGTTGCATATATATATATATATATAATAGTGGTGCTGTGGAGGCACAGATAAGTTCAGGTAAGTTATGTTTGAACATGTGCACTACGAACGGCTTGATCCCTGTTTAGGGTACGTAGGCAGCCTAATGAAATGTTAGGTGCATCCATTCAATATATGAGATGAAATAAATGACATTTAAGTTTAATTGAGGAATTGAGAAGTGTGACGAACATGTTTGGCTGGCTATGTGAGATGTGATTGAGAAACGATAGCTCATAACCTGCACTTGGGTGATTGCGATTTAGCCATAGAGAGAGTTGGCATAGGCCTGTATATTATGTCACCTCCCGCACCATATGCTCACATTGGATCCACTTAGGTGCACAGTCTTGTCGTACAGACCACTATAGGTGGTTCCGACTTGTAGGTGACTAACGTATTATCGCACAGCTAGCATTGAGAGAGTAAAATTGAGTATAATTATATTACACCCAACCTTGTCGTACAGACCCTTTCCATGGATTCCGACTTATGTGCAGTATTGCCGTATAGGTTATAGTAATGACTCCGGCTAGATTGAGTTTTAAGCTATGAATTCAACCGTACAGACTACCACAGGAGTTTCGGCTAACATATCATACTTCTATGAAATTAAACTTACTTGGATAGCTTACTTTGTTATATTTTGGCATGGCATACATATGAATATGACTATGTGACATGAACTGATTTATTATGATTTCAGATATATATGTATATGCTTATATCTTGATTCTGGGAAAATAATACATGTTTTACAGCGAGGGGTTAGATATGTTGATAAATGAAATGGTTTTGTAAAACAATTGTTTTTGCCCACTCACGTTTTCTGTTTTGCGCCCCTCCATGTATTAAGTAAGCTTGATGTTGGTGGCTAGAGGACGTCGACAGTTCTGACCTATTTGAATAATAGTAGGACAATCCTGGTACTGTGTAACTAGTACTTGTCCTACTGGACTGCACCTAGAATTTATGCTCTGAATTAGGAGTGCTTACTGTTGTAATTAACTCCTATCACCTTTCGTTTAGTAGTGCACTCTAGTAACTTGGTTTTTAATTATTCGTATATTTACTATCTTTATCGCTTCCGCACTGTGCACATGGCTACGTCACTCTCACGTGACAGCCAGCATGCCTTGACCTCGGTCAGGGTGTGTCAAAATTAACAATTCCATTGAAGATACTCTAATTTTTATTTTGGGCATTTTTATTGTTATGTAGTGGATGTGTTAGATATTACTTTAATTAGTTTAAAATTTGAATTTTTTTTATTTCTTATCGTTTTATCCAATTTTTTCCTCAAAATTTTGGTTCTATCGTTGCTCTCAACAAAGAAAAGAAAAAAGAAACCCTTAAATTTTCTTAGTTAAATTTTAGTATATTTACCATGAAATCAATATTTAGGTCTTTAAAATTTGGTGGCAACTGAAAATAATCAAAACACACACTTGTTTTTGGCTAAACAATTGAATTACAAAGTAAAACTAAATCTTGTTGGACTGTAGTTCTGACTGTAGTCACTTTATTTAATATTTATTTTCTTATGAAAAAATATAAAGTGCAACATAGGCCTCTATATTCAGTAGGAAGTTAGGAACCAACCGAAAATTGTACCGTATTCAATGGCTAACAAACAGCAAGTGATGAATTGTATTGATGGTTAGAGCATTTATCGTCAATTCACTGTGTATAAGGTTCAAGCTCACCTCCCTCCTCTTAGTATATAATAGATTAATAATATCTCTTGTACTGAAAAAATGGCTAACAAGCAAATATTGTACGCGTATTCAGTAGCTAACAGCAAAAAATCATTGAGATTTTGTATTGTTTTATGTCAAACACAAGTTCATAGCTAACACTACCAATGTTGTAAGTCGTCGCCATCTCCAGCGTCATTGTTGTTCGCCATGGGAGATATGAGTGTTGAAATCTATTTTACAATAGTGGGTTGATACTTACAAAGGACGTTTAGGTAAGCTAGGCATGTGATTTTAGTTAATGCATAGATTTAAAAGTACACGAGGGTGCTTTGAGCGAGAGAAATTTCAATAAAATTGTCTTAGTAGGCATGCCTTATAAGTACGAGTACGACTAACATGAAATTAGGTAAGATTAAAATACTTAGAGTTTTGTATTTGATGGTCGGAATGTGTTTTACACAAGTTGTTTCGCTTTCAGTAGCCACCTATTATTTTTGGTGAAGTATTCAATCTTCTTCCATTTGTTTGGTTGGGTTTTCATTATTGCAACTACTTCATGTTTCTTTGACAATCTGCATTCAATAATTATAATGTCTCACCTACCGTTTCTTTATTAATTTAATTTTATTGTCAGCTTTAGAACAACGTCGTGTGAAGGGTATTTTGAGAATTATTGGGCTAGAAAGCAAGATTAGCTCGTGTGATCCTATTAGGCTGTGAATTAGAACCGTACATTTATACGTGATTCGATAAATGTAACGTTAAGACAATCTAATAAAGAGAGAATACTTGCGTATACTCTATTAAAAAATGTCGTACCTAGTGCACAAGGTTTCCGCTTTACGCAGGGTCTGGAAGAGGTGAATGTCGGCTAACCTTACCCCCATTTTATGGAGAGGTTGCTCCCAAGTCTCGAACCCAAGACCTACCGTTCATGGGCGAAAGCACTTGCCATCGCACCAAGTGCGACCTCTACTTGCGTATACTCTATTACCGAGTCAAAATACGACACACGAAACTAAAATAATCAACATTTCAAAAACAAATTACAAAACTTTTTGGCTTACCAAGCCCTGATCACATTTACAAAGGAGTATCTCCGGCTCGAAGGGTGTAGCTGAAAAAGAAGAGAGAAACACAATATACAATTTACACAATACAGCCGGCTGCAAAAAACTGCATAGGATAAAAATCCATGAAATCAAATTTTGTGTGGATGTGTCATATGGTGCGGATGCTGAAGTTCTTAGTATTAGCGGCTGAGGTTTCAGATGACAAGTTCGAAATGAAGGTGGTGGTGGTGGTAGCAGCAGCTGAGGTTGCTAATGAGAAGGTTGAATTGTACTGGTTGTCTGAGCCTGAGCCAGCGGATGCATTATAGGAAGATGTCGTCGTCTCTGCACCAGGCTTGGTGCCATGAGGGCCTCGTACTCCGAGATCCATGAAATCGGATATTAAGCCTGGCTTTGTTATCTTATCGTCCACAACCTTCTCGCCTTTTAGCATCTTGACCACGGTTGACATGGATGGCCTGAGCTTCGGAGAGTCTTGGGTGCAGAGGAGACCGATCTTTAGAAACCTACAAGCCTCCTCAGCGTCAAAATCACCGTCGAGTGATGTGTCTACCAGCCCAACAAGCTCCCTCCGTTCGTAGAGTTTCCATGTCTGCAACACAAGAACGCACTTGTCATTAATAATGTGTAAGGTAATCGAATCTGCACCGCATAACTCAATACAAACAAGAATTCCAGCATATTTTTAGGCAGAAATCGATATGATATAATTGAATCAACGAGTGAAACAAGTAAAACAATGAGTTATTACAAGCATTTTATTAAAAAAATCAGCTTTTTCCCTCATCACGAACCCTTGCAGTACCCTTGGTAATACAAAGCCAACATGGCTATGATTGTATGAAATGAAGATGTTAGAACACGCAACTCACAGACACACAGAAGTTGTCGAACAACTTCGTTTCATACAACATTGTCCACCAACACCAACACTGTCAACAGACAACATGAAGGCAAACGCAAACAATAAACTTCAGAAGCCTTATCGGACAAACAAAAATGTCCAGAAACATTACCAAAAATCACATTTGACACATGCAGTTTTCATTTAATGCGTTTTACTTAAACAAGATTGAAAGCAAAAGCTTGTAAGGATTGAATATATCTGAAATTTATACCCTTTCAAGCAGATACTGTTCGTCAATTGGTAGTCGTGTATTTGTATTACATCTGCCACTGACTATTTCCATTAGGAGCACTCCAAAGCTATAAATATCTGCTTTCCTTGTCAATTGACCGCGTATTGCATATTCTGGTGCCAAATAACCTCTGAAACCAGAAATATAGATTTGATTACAAGACAAAATATTTTTGATTATAATAGATCAACAAAGAGATAGGTAGACATCCAAAGGAAGATTTAAATGGAGAAACTTAAACACCTAATCCAATAGTATTAGTAGTTTGTAGGGACATTGAAGCGAATGACTAAACCTACTCAGTATAGATAAATTGAAGCCTATTTTTACTTATTATGGTATCGTCTGCTTTTGGGAGCAGCCTCTCTATAAATGGGGGTAAGGCTAGCCGACATTCATCTCTCCCAGACCCTGCGTAAAGCGGGAGCCTTGTGCACTGGGTACGACGATGGTATCGTCTGCTTGTTATACCAACAAAAGGAAGATCATACAAGTAGAATCTGCTACATAACTAGCAAGGAAATGATATAGCATAACTATTATTCAAAAGTTATTTTCTTTCCAGAAAGTTAAAAATCCAAAAAGTAGAATAAACAAGTTGTAGTGAACTCGTAAACAAGATGATAGTCTGTTTATCACATTTAGTGGAGGACAAAAGATCTATTGATTTCCTAACTGGCCACTGTTTTATGCGATTCGCAATTGCAAACACTAAGGAAGGCAAAATTTGTAGTTATGCTTTTAGAACAGTTGTTAGGTTTCAATTTCAATTGCTCAATTCTAAAAGGAAGAGAGACATCACAGCTTACATTGTTCCTGCCACACGTGTGCTAACATGGGTCATGTTGGGAGGGATAAGTTTTGCAAGACCAAAATCTGAAATTTTAGGCATTAGGTCTTTATCGAGGAGAATATTGCTTGCTTTGATATCTCTATGAATAATATGTGGACGTACTTCCTCATGAAGGAAGGCAAGCCCACATGCAATCCCATTGCATATTTCACGCCTAGTTCGCCAACTAAACTGGAGATTACTGCTTCCACCTGGAATGAACAGTTTAACAACATAAATTTCAAGAATAAATTGATCTCAGGAAAGGACTGATTCAAAACTGATGGAAATACACCTCTGGATGTAAGATACAGAAATTGCAGAACTGATCCTTTATCTTACCCAAGCACATTAACTACACGCACAAATGTAAATGCCAATTTCAGCTCAAGAACAAAGCTAATAACTTACCAATAAGATTTTGTTCAAGGCTATTATTCTCGAGGTAGTTGTAGACCAGAATTCTTTGGTTTCCTTCAACACAACAGCCAAAGAGCTCAACTAGATTTTCATGCTTTATTTTTGAGATCACGTCAATCTCAGTCAAAAACTCCTTCACCCCTTGTCTTGATTCAGCTGAAAGAACTTTTATAGCAGCAAATTTTCTGTCTTTAAGTTGGCCCTGATTATTCACAATAACAATTCAAATGGACGTCACTCACAATGTCAAGGAGAAAGAATGTTTCAATTATATACCAAATGCAATACTTTTATACAAAACATATATTAAAACAGTAAATCCGAGTTTACCTTATAGACAGAACCAAAACCACCTTCCCCGATTTTATTGGCTGGACTAAAATCGTCAGTTGCGATTCTCAACTCTTTGTAAGTGAATAGTTTAACATTGTGAATGCCAGAAACTTCTGTTACAAAAAACCTTAACTTAAGGCAGGCATAAGAAAAGTACTTTGGGACATTTGATTCTGATAACCTTGCCAATGAACAATAATCTCATAAGAGTAATGCCACCTAAAATTATCAAGCTTTCAGCTTACCTTCATCAATATCAGAACCGGGTTTTCTTGATTTGTTCACAATTCTACCGCTTAAGAAGGAAAAACAACCCATAACTGTAAGAGACGCCAATTACCAAAAGGTCAACCGTTAACAGATGCTTCAAAAAAAACCACTTCAGGACCTGCCACATTGAACCGGTGTAAGAACACATGTTATCCAGAAGCACAATTGGATCGAAATGAATATCAAAGGCTTTGAGTAGGATATAAACTTTAAAACAACATTACTTATTGCTCCAAATCCAAAAACTTTAACTGAACTAATAATCTCGACAAATAAAGAGTTGTCCTTGTCTCGATCGAACTAGATAAAGTATGGCTTCACATAGCACTATAACGGTAAGAAATGCAAAAAAAAGATAAAAATGAAACACACAAAATCTACAACCAATGTTTCGATTTCGAAAAGCCATGGAGTTGACAGGAACAGAATGAAACAAGCATATAAGAATGAAACAAGAATGCATCGACACTGACTTTTCCCTTTCGGATCAATCGAAACTATGACAAAGATATTCAGTCAACTGGATGTTTGATGGACTGAAAAGGTTTCAACTTTAAGCAAAACCAAAACTTAACAAAAATGCAACAGCAAAATAAACACCTCAAATAGTTAAAACAGATAGAACCCAGAAAACAAATCATCAACATCTACCCAAATAATTAATCCAGAAAAAAAAAAGATCGAAAATTTAAAATAACCCAGGAGAGAAGATCACCTGAGGAGCTCAGAGAAAGAAGGACAGAGAGGATATTGGCTGCTTGTTAATCGTTGGCGTTGGAAAAGAAAATTGTGGGGTTTGGGGAAGATGAAATAGAAGAAAGCAAATAATTGGATTTTTTTGCACGGTGAATGAATGTGAGAGGGTGAGGTACACAGAAGACTCGGCAGAGTCCAGTCTGGCTTGCGTACGCCTCCTTTCCCTTTGAATTTTCAATTTTGTAAAAAAATATGAACCAAATGGCATTCGCCATGTAAGTGGCGCGTATGCTATTACTGGTACCATTTATTTGTAATGTTATATGGGGATAAGTCAGAATGTCAAGCTTCAAGCGGCATCCAAGACGGATTAGGATTCCATCCTCTTCTTTTTCCATCTCATCTTCTCCTTTCACATATCTCTATTTTATCTTTATTTTTCTATAAAAAAAATTAATATTAGAAGTTGATGTGACTTAACTGTAACCATTTAAATAAGAGGGAAGAGAAAAAAAAAGGGGAGATATGTCTCTTTATTTTGATGCCTAAGACTTGAAATTGGCATAATCTGAGTTGTTTACCATAAATTATTTTAACATTTTCATGAAAAATTAAATAATGACAAAAATAACAAAAACACACCATTTAATAAACAATGGGTCAAAATAATTTGATAAAAATTACCGGTATTTTTTGTCGTTTATTTAATGGAGAATTTTCACATAATGACTAAAATAATTGATGGTGAACAAACTCAGAGACTACTTGTATTGATTTCAAATCTTAATGACCAAATTAAGGAGTTATGTCAACGTTAGAGACTATTTTAAGTAAAAAAAACTTTATTTGTTACTTATACTGCGGTCTAGTGGTATTCCTCTCCATTTGTAGATGAGAGGTCTATGGTTAGATTTTTGCCAAATACGAATTTGAACAACATTATTATGGCTAGCCTAGTGTGAAACTTAGTTTACTTCCCAATCCACTTAGTGTTAATAATATCATGTGTGAAAAATAATAATAATAATAATTATTATTATTATTTTTTATTTATTAAAAGCGATATTTTATTCAACTGTAATTTTGTTTAAACTCTGAGAAGAAGACATAATATTGTAATTTTGTCGTGCATTTCATGGGTGGTGCCTTACACCGACTGTAAGTGCAAAGAGAACTTACATAAGCCTAGCTTGTCACCCTCATGCCCCAACCTGAACGAGTTGGCCCCAAATCCAACCTCCTAATTCTAATAACCTTCAGAACAAGCAAGTAGTTAAGAATATGAGCAAATTTAATCCCAATACAATTGACATTGAATCAGATGAGGTGTTGAAGGGGAGCGAAATGTGCAGTCGCACAATGTTCCAAATTTAAAGAGGCTCCTAAAATTTTTATCACCTAATATTTATATGTAATAATGCTTCATATTTAAAAATTATTTTTGTTAACACTTTAAAATCTCATTGTGCATTCCTAATAAGCTTTAATTTGTTTCCTTTCTAAATATAAAAATTTGGAGCACAATAAGATACTTTTAATGGCAATAATAACACCTTAAAAAACGGTAATTTTCAATTTATTATATAATAATGTTATATATTCAAGTGAAACTTTAAAGTTAGAGTTTTTGAAGTTTTTTTTTTCTTGTTTGGTTATTTAAGATTGAACTGCTTTTGATTATTTAGTGAACGTTATATTTGTAACTCTTTTTATTTATTATTAATTTCACACACAGCCTTTAAAATCTTAGAAACGGCCCTGCATTGAATCAAGTGGTCCAAAACCCTTGCTCTTTATTATAGGCTTCTACTTTCAACGTGTGCTAAAACGCACAAAGACGGCAACGTTTTCATCGACTATGTACTATTCTGCGTCCTATATTTGGTGAATAACCTTTAAATTTTACTATTATTAGGGGAGGGGGGGAGAGTTCAAAACTATTACAATAATTTAGGAGATGAAGGAGTTTTGAACTCAAGATGCATGCGTAGAAACCCAACACCCTATCCAGTAGAATATTGGATCACATGCAAACGTTGAAGATGAAATCCTACCTAATATAAATGGTTTCATTTCTTTTTAATTAGTTTTGAATCGAATGCTCACATCCTCTCATACTGTCAAGGTTTCCTAAAAGAACATAAAAATAAAAAACATAATATCAGAGATAGCCACCTAAAATAAATGGAGGCAGATTCTTTGCCCTCCCACTTCCCGTGCCCTCATGTTTGTGTGGTCACAGTTAAGTCACGTCAACATTTTATATTACTATTCTTTTTTGTCTTATTATCTCTATAAAAAATTAATATAAAATACTGACGTGGCTTAACCATGATCACACAAAACAAAAGGGCACAGGAAGTGGGAGGGCAGAAAATCCGTCTCTAAAATAAATAGATGGCTTCATTATGGTTAAATTGTCAAAGATATGATAAGGAGAGAATTTGTTGAACCAACCGTGTTTAAGTGGACTTTATTGTATAGGGTCATGCTCTCTTAAGGTCTTCGTTCTGCGAACATGTGATAACCAAATGCATATTAGCCACAAAATTATACTAGTTTAGATTCAAAGGATTAACATATTTGACAACTTAATAAAACAAAACCAACTTAAAATATTTCAAACCTTTGAATCTCTACTAATTAATAAAACACTCATTGTTAACCAAAACCTTATGAAATTACCAGTTTAACTCTCTAATTAAAATAGAACGTGAATAAGAAATATGGGGCAAAAATGTAATTTCACACAACCAAATTTTGTTTTTTTATTCAAAACCTCACCTACATGTGATCCTAACACATCACTAATTATAAATAAATAAATAAAATTAAAAAAAAATTAAAAAAAATTCTCACTCCCACATTCTCTATCACTCCCGTCCTCTCTCTTTCTATTTCAAAAACAAAAATAAAAAATTTTCTCACACACACTTTATGTATACCCATATGTTAATGTAAATTAATATACATTTGGTCTTGACAAGTCCTAAAACCTTAAAATAGCGAGATGGTCCCTGTATTGAGTGTCATGCAATCTGCATAATGACATTTTGTCTTGTCCGTACTAGTACCGGGTCCCAGTCCCACATAAAAGCTGTACAAAATATGATCAAGTGGGTTTAATGGAGACTTTTTCTTTATATCGAAGGGTTTTTTAGATGAAGACTTTGAATTCTATTTCTTGAAAGCTTCATCGTTCACATTGCAGCCGTATAGGAAGTGCCTTTAAATGACATAAAAATTATTAGAGAAAAGGTTTTGAAATCATTTTTTTAGTAAAAATGCAATTACCATCAGCTTTAGGAATCGAACACAAGATATACTCGTGTGAAATACATACCTGAAATTCGTCTCCAAACTACTAAATCACCATGTGATATTATATACACACACGATTTCGAAGTTTGATGGTGTTCATGTTTTATTGGGTGGGGGTGGTTTCTTGAAGGAACACACAAGATATTGACGAATGAAAAACCCAAAAAAAAGGAATCTGAAAACTTGGGGAAGAATGATGAATGTCAAAAACCTTTGTTTATTTTCTTGACAAAGGAATACACAAGATATTGACGAATGAAAAACCCAAAAAAAAGGAATCTGAAAACTTTATATTCGGAAAAGTAATCTCATGACTTTGATTAGCATCCACGTTAATAGAGAAGAATGATACATGTCAAAAGTTCAAAACTTGATTTATTCAAATATTTTTGGGTAAATTACACTTTCATACCTCAGATTTGAGGTTTATTTTAATTCCTTACAACATCTTTAAAACATTTCACTTTCATACCTTAAGTACTATTTTATTTCAAAATAATACATCTGTTATATTTTCCATCCATTGATCTGTTAAATGCTGACGTGGCTGCCACATATATGTCATGTGGCTACCAAATGTCTGCCACGTGGCAAATAAAATAATTTTTTATTATTTTTTTTAAAAACCTGAATTTTCTCAACAAAAAAAAATTGAAACCCACATCTACAAGAAGAAGAAGAAGAGGGAGGAAGAAAGAAAAAAAAATTGTCCCTCCTCCCTCCTCCCCCAGCGACCCAGAAGAAGAAGAAGATGAAGATGATGAAGAAGAAGAAGAAGAAAAAATAAAAATAGAAACCCACATCTGCAAGAAGAAGAAGAAGAAAAGGGAGGAAGGGAGCTGGGTCAGGGTGAGGGGAGGGTTGTCGGCCGAGGGGGGGGGGAAGGGGAACGGGAGGAGGGTCGCCGGGCGGGGGGAGGGTCGCCGGGGGTGGGGGGAGGAAGGGGGTTTCTGGGTTCTTCTTCTTTCTTCTTCTGGGTTGTTGGTGGGGAGGGACAAATTTTTTTTCTTTTTTTCTTTTCCTCCTTCTTCTTCTTCTTCTTCTTCCTCTTCTTCTTCTAGGTCGCTGAGGGGATGAGGGACAAATTTTTTTTTTTCTTTCTTCCTCCCTCTTCTTCTTCTTCTTCTTCTTCTTCTTGTTGCAGATGTGGGTTTCAATTTTTATTTTTATTTTTGTTGATAAAATTCAGGTTTTTAAAAAAAAATTATTTTATTTGCCACGTCGCAGACATTTAGCAGCCACGTGACATATATGTGGCAGCCACGTTAGCATTTAACATATCAATGGATGAAAAATGTAACAGAGGTATTATTTTGAAATAAAATAGTACTTAAGGTATGAAAGTGAAATGTTTTAAAGATGTTGTAAGGAATTGAAATAGACTCCAAACCTAAGGTATGAAAGTGTAATTTACCCAATATTTTTAGTTAAATTAGTTGTTATATACGACCAACGATGTATTTGAGCCGTTTTTTAGTAGTAATTTTGCCGCTTAAAGACAAGTTGTAGAATTACAATTAAAAAACAGCTCAAGTACAAGCTGTAGTAAGTGGTCATCTCAGTTTATACAATGTATTTAAGAGCATCCCAAGGGAGTTGTTAATTTCACATTTTAATTAAATATGTAGAGCCACAGGGTGGCTGATTTATGAAAAATTATTTGAATGGTCACATGTTAAAGTTCACAAACATTTCTTAGACATATAATAACATTAACAACTAAATCATAGTTTCATCATTCATAACTTATAGAACAAATTACAATTGTCCGCGAAGCGTTTTCATAATTTGAAAACACTGCATTACAGCTTCATTATCAATGAAAAAAATTATTTCTCTCAATATAAACCACCATGTTATCACTTAACCATTGATCTCTCATTCGGTTACGCAATAGACTATTCACAGTATTCATAGCGGAAAAGGCTCTCTC